TCACTGGTCTCCATCCGGACATTGAGCCATTGACCACTACTCTTTGGCTGCGACCATCCAACCAATTCCTTATCCACCGAACGGTCCACCCATCAAATCCATGGCTCTCCAATTTAGAGAGAAGGATGTTGTGGGGAACCGTGTCAAAGGCTTTACAAAAATCCAGATAGATGACATCCATTGGTTTTCCCTTGTCCACCCTTGTTGCTACATCATCATAGAAAGCCACTAGGTTGGTGAGGCAGGACTTGCCCTTGGTGAAGCCATGCTGGCTGTCCTGAATCACGTCCCTGGCCTCCATGTGCCTTAGCATATCTTCTAGGAGGATCTGTTCCATGATCTTCCCAGGCACAGAGATGAGGCTGACAGGTCGGTAGTTCCCAGGGTCTTCCTTTCTACCCTTTTTGAAAAGGGGCACAACGTTTCCCTTTTTCCAGCCACTGGGGCCTTCCCCTGCCTGCCATGACTTTTCAAATATCATGGAGAGTGGCTTGGCAACTACATTAGCCAGTTCCCTCAGGACTCTGGGATGCATCTCAACAGGTCCCATGGACTTCTGTACATTTAGGTTCCTCAGGAGGTCCTGAACCTGGTCTTCACTTACAGCTGTAGGTATTTTACCCTCCTGGTCTCCTTCATGCCATTCATTGACTTGGGAGGGGTGAGGAGAGAGGTTGCCAGTGAAGACTGAGGCATTAATCTTCATGCTGGTCCTGGCAGGGGCCATGGGGATCCAGGAGCTGTCTTGGTTTCTCCCTTCCCTGCTCCAGGTGTCGGCACCTCACCTGTCTCTACAAAGCCGCTTGCATCCAGCCTCCAGGGAGTCCCCAGCATGCAGGGCTGATCCCGCCAGTGAGCCCCTCGGGGCTGGTGACGTCCTGCCTGACTCCAGCAGCTCTGACAATCCCTCTGGCCAGCCTGTCCTCTCGATGGGATGTGTGGCGAATGCAGAGCTCCCCCACCCTGGTATAGTGCACAATGCCAGAGCTGTGGCACAGTCAAAAATTCTTCCAGCTCATGTTTGAACCAGCCCTGGGCATGAAGGGGAGGTGACACTTTCCCAGTGACATCAGCAGGAGCCTTCCTTCTGCCCTGAAGGAACAAGGATGGGTTTCTAAGTCATGGGCATCGGGGATTCCAAGGCCATTGTGAGTTGTGTTCAAGACATCCGTTGCACTCAGGTCGGTGATTTGTCATTGTATTTGATGTATTTTTTGCCTTCCAAGGATGTGGACCATCAGATCTCCCTGCATGGCTGTAGGCAGAATCTCCTTACGAAGGGGAGGAAACAATGTGCAGTCCATCCCCCTCAGACAGCATGAGTGAGCCTGGGTCTCCTTCCCGGGAGGACACCTCAGGATGGTGGAAAAAAGGGGTCAGTCCCAGAGCAGTCAAGAGCACCCAGTGAAACCTGAGCCTCTGCTCTGCTTCACTGCTGTGGACGAGGGGACAAGGTCCCACCTCGTCAGACACTGGGTTTAAGGGGATGATGGCTCTGTGCCTGGGAAAAGCTGCTTCTCCCGGCAGCCGCAGTACTGATCAGGCTGACATAAGCTTTTGAATGAGACCATGGTGTTTTTATCTGCTCCGCTGCTGGCCAGGGTGAACATTCCTCCTTTCACATCTTCCTCCATAATGCGGCTGTTTGATTGAATAACAAAACGTATAGAGCCTCTCACAGGGAGAATAAAATGGTCTTGCTGTACTCTGTGTACCAGCACGTGGGTATCAGTTAACCCCATGTTCAAATGGTGGCTCTGTGCCATGACAACAGAGTTACTGGGGGAAGCTTCTGGTGAGCTGCTTGCTCTGTTGCTGCTCATAACAGTAATTGCTTTCTGCCTCATGCTCATGACAAAGGTGGTGATCAAAACACGGCATCCTTCTTGGGGAAGTGGAGGCCAAACCCCATGCACTGAAGTTTCACCTCTTGGCTATTCCCCTTTGTGGTCTCACAAAGAGCGGGCACAGCACACAGGAGCAAGAAAAGAAAAAGGTCCAGGGATCACCTGGATTGTGATTACCCTCAAGAGATTTGGTAACCTATAAGGGGAGTTAATGTACTCCTGGTTTGGCCCAGCTCCAGTACATGTAAACCTTGCACTCTGCTGGCATCCTTGGGGCTCTCAGCAGAGATGCAGTTGCAGGGGAGAGGTTAGTGATGGGGCCAGTGAAAGCAAGGCATGAGGGAGCCTCTAATGCAGATATCTCTCTGTACGCAGGGGATATGGTATCCCACATGATGGCTGGGGTGAAGCTGGAGGGGATTCAGTGGGGCCACCAAGATGATCGGAGCCTGCAGGACGCTGCCTATGGGGAGAGGTGGAAGGAGCTAGCTTGATGAATCAGGAGGAGAAGGAGGTTGGAGGGCACGAAGCAACAGCCTACAGCGACTTGGAGGGCATCTACAGAGAGGATGGAGCAAAACTCCCCTCTGCACTGACAAGTGATACAACAAGGGGCAATGGCCACAAACTGCAGCTTGGATGGTCACATCAAGAGAAATGTCTCCTCCAGAAGGGTGGTGCAGCCCAATGACCTGTAAAGGTCCCTTCCCACCCAAACTATTCTATGAGTCTATGATTCTATTCTATGATCTTTGGAGGTTTTCAATATTTGTCTAAATGAAGCCATGACCCACCAAGGAAAAGTCCTGCTCAGCACCCTGTTGGGGTGCAACTTTGCACATGTCGTTTATCTTCAAAGCACCTTTGCAGATCAAAACCAACACAGAAGATAGAGGCAGTGGGAAACTTGATGTCTCTACAATAAGTTGATGGAAAATTATGTGTTGCTTGGCTTTAAAGCTTCAAACTCACTATGGCAGAAACAGTCGCTCATCAGTGGCATGGTGTTATTATTTTGGCAGATACAAATACCCTATTCCTGTGCATTGTCATGGAGGTAAGGAACAGTTTTTTAGCCTGGGAAGCCTATGCTGGCCTATTTTTTTTGCTCGTTGCACAAAGGCTGGTACTGGCAGAATGTACTGTGCTGTGCTCACACTGCAATTTTGCAGCAGGTATTTTAATCCTCTCCCAAGCTGCATAGCAGCCGGACTGCCATGGATTTAAATCTTTATGGAGATGATAAAACAGACTCAAAAATGAACATGAGTGCCACTGCCGTAACACTCCTCCAGATCTGTCTATCATTTTGTTAAGCAGCAATAACGTCTCTCTCTCGAAGAGCTGGCCAGGTCCTGTGAAGGTGACTTGAAATGCAGAGTGAGGTCGGATGGTGACCCAGGGATGCATTCAGGAACAGGCTCACAAACCCCAAGATGTTTTTGCTGTGGAAGAAACTTTATGTGCTGTTGGGCACCGAAGGCAGCTATGGGTGAGAGGCTCCAGCTCAGCCCCACGGGCAGCACAGGATGGCATGGCATGGTGTGGCACAGTCTTGCCTGCACTTGCACTGCCCTTCCACAGACCTGACCTCCTGCTGCTCCATCGCTCAGCCACCCTGCTGACACTGCCCGCTGCTTACTCATAGGGTGCGAAATGGGGTTTTAATGTTTCTTTTCTCAGCTGGGATGTTACATTCTGAAGTGGGAATGCGTGACTTTCACCTGCTCTCCATTGTGGGATGCAGGAAAAATTTCAAACCCACACTCTAGTGTTTGAGGCATTTTAACTTGCTCAGCACAAAGCTTGAGGAGCTAAAGCCTGGCAAAAAAAAAGTAGGTTCAGAGCTCAGAGACAAACTACTGTTCCCCAACTGCAAGGGACAGCTCATGTCCACCAAAATATGCCACATTTATTAAATATTTGCTAATCATCCTGTTAGCACTGATGGTGGCTGTATATTCAAGACATGATGGCAATGGGGCTTTCGTGTAACTGCAGTCTTTACATGTGTCACAGAGACAGGATCAAGTACCAATAATTGACTTTGCTTTAATATGGGATGCAATTAAATAATTGATTCTGGCACAGATTAGTTTAGCCATATTAGCTACAAAACCTGCAGCAAGGATTGTCTCGCATGATATGTTTATGCTCTATCTGAAATAATGGGAGGCTCTTGGCTGGAGGCTCTGACAGTAACTATGCTACGTAAGGAGGGATCACGATTTGAGGAGATAGCTGCTGCACAATGTCCTGTCCTCGTTTTCAGAGGCGGAAGGTAAATAGTACAGCCATCACTTTTAATTACTTTGTGTGCTGGGCAGATGTTACCTTGTATAGCAGAGCTCAAGGTAGGAAATGTGAGTGTTCCTCCATGCATTTCAATGCACAATTAGCCAGATGAGCTCAGATTGCGTTCTCCAGTGATTTAATTTAATTTAAGCTGGTTGATTTTGCCCTAATGCATGCACACATGCAGCCTAGCCTGGGCTGTGAGGTTGTAACATCCAGCTAGTGAGTTATAGTGTCTCCAGCTGTTAAAACCACATCTGGAGGAGATCTTTCTTTCATCTCCCACAGATGTGGGAATGCTAATATATCCTGTACTGGGCGTACAGGTAAATATGGCACTGGTGCCTGTGAGAACAGTACAACAGGGCATTTCTGAGGGAAAGCCAATTCTCCAAGAGACGGCAGATATGATCTGATATGATCTGATATGACCACAGATATCATGCTGCTGCAGCTCTTGGGCTTCTGAGCCATAACCTTCAGCCACAGCTGGCTGGAGCAGCAGGAGTTTCTGAAAGCAGGGGATCAAGCGCAAATTTTGGCCCACAGAGAGGGGGACTCAGTGGCTGTCTTCAGGGTTTGGCACCCTTGCTACCATGTTGTCCTCAGTGCAGCAGTATGGGGAGCACCAAAGACAGGGAGCACTGCTACTTCGTACCAGCATCATTTATGCCACTCTGAATTCAAACACTGTGTTTGCCTCCCAGATCTCTCTCACTGAAATTACTTTTCCCCTCTGCCACATGGTAACAGCCAGGGTGTTTCTCTGCTGGGTGCTACAGACATACTTAATGCAGGAGGTTTCCTACACATCAGACAAGGTGATCTCATGAAAGGGTTTAATCAGCTGTCTTATTTATGCAGATGCTGTAAATAACTCCACCACCTGTTTTGCCTCCTGCTGCTCCACTACGGTCTGTATTACTGGTACAGCCAAGCTGAGACATGAGCAAGGTTGATCATAATTCACCTGGAGCTGTGGTTCAAACTCACCCGCGCTGACAGTAATAGCCTCAATAAACTGCTCCCTCCAGCTGTTTGTGCCAACCACCAGGGCCAGGTTCGTCTTCTTAATGAGCTTGTCCACTGTGTTCTGTGGATGGAGATGCAGAGGAGAGAATTAGGGGCTATCGGGCTGGAGATGCTGGGCTAAAACCCAACGGTGCTAGTGCTTACCGCCATGCACTTATGGAAAAAGCTTAGTAGATTTTAAGCTCAGGTCAAGAGCCCCAGCAGTGAAAGCAAATGTAAGTACTTGCAATTCCCACTCAAAAAAGACCTTTTGAAACCTGGTCATGATGGGATTTTGAACCATCTCAGCGGAGGTTTAACAGCAAATAGTGCTGAGGTGCCACAGCTCCTGTTATTCCCAGTGCCTTGGGAAGAATTGTTACCGGGCTGTTTCAAAGCACTAACTGGCATTTGATCAAGGCCCATTCGCGAAGCTGGGCTCTACCTCTCTGTGCTGTTCAGGAGCTGGAGCTCAGCGCTGGCAGAGAAGGTGCTGCGGCAGCAGCAGAAAGGAGGTGCTCCTGGGCAGGCAGCCTAAGGGCTGCCCGCACGCTGTGATGCCTCAGACGCACGCTGACAGCTGGCAGCAAAACCATGGGAGGGAGGCAGCCACCGCTGCAACACTGTAAGGGTGGTCTGTTGTTTTTTATACTACAGAAAAATGGAAAAAGGCAACGAAATGGCCAGTGATTGGCTCTTGGTCTGGCACACGCATTCACGGCAGCTTAGCTTCACAGCCATTACTTGCATTTAGGGTATCAGCCCTTTGTGCTGGGAGTCCCGGGCTTGGGGGGGTCACTTAAGACTGTGTGTAAGTAGGACCTGGGTGTAGCACATCACTTTGAGAATGAGGTAATGTTTTAAATCAGCATGCAGTATTTTGGAGCCCAGTCAGCTCTCAGCTTCACCAGACTGATGTGCTTGTATAATAATAACCACAAACAGTCTGTGAGTGGGACAGGAAGTCTGGGATCATCCCCCAAGGACCGTGGCTGTGGGCTAATGGACAGAGTGAGGAATCAGAGTGCATTTCAACGTACCGCCATCTCACTAGTGTGACCCTCACCCTTTCATCACGCCTTTGCTCAGCCATCTTTCAGCGTCCCTTGGTCCTGCTCTGAGACCTTGTAATGCCAGCAGCTGCCTCGCTTTGCTGCAGTGCCATTAATGTGTGCTTGTCAATGCTGTGCAATGCTGTGCAAATCCAAAAGCTGGGGAGGAAGAAGAAGAGGGGCAGGGGACGCGGACGGTACCTTGAACTCATAGGATTCCTCAATGATGACTTCAAGCTTGGTGTGCTCCCCCAGGACCGGGCGCCCCATCTCGGCGATTCGGCGCTCTTCCTCCTCCTTGCTAGTCAGTGGCTGCTTTTCTTCGCTCTCCTCTGCAAAGCAAAGAGCCCGTCGGTGAGCCAGGCCTGGGTGGTCACTCTCTGGAGTTGGCTTCCTGTCAGAGAGGGAGGCCAGGAAGCCTCCAGGTGGGAGCGTAAGCAACAGAGCAGCTGAGAAGGAGGAGGACATGGAGCAACAGACAAAGTAGTTCTGCTGGAAAATGCTAGCAAGAGGTCTGCAACTTGTCCAACCTTTTCTGAGTCCAGTTCACCCTCAGAGCTAGGGAATAGCTTATCGCCTGGTACCTGCTGCCTCTCCCGCAGGGATGCTGGAGGGGACAGATCATCTCTAAGGCTGCTCCACTTCCCAGCTCTCCAGGTCTGCGTCGGGGCATGGTCAGGACATTTCCATCAGCCTGTTACAACCAGAGATCTGCCTGCAGCCTCTGGTCTGAGATGGGTATGAAATCTTGACTCTGCCTCCTTCTGAGCAGGGCTTTATCTTGGGAATGGCGCTGGCAGCTGGAGAGCATGAAACTCCTGCTGCGATGGTGGGTCTGCAGGAAACAGTGTTGGGCCATACAGGTGCGAGGAGCCGTGCACAGGGCATGGCCTGGCCCCAAACCCTGAGAAAGGAGGCAACGGAGAGACTACAAGTGCAGATGTGCACCTCCACTGGCATCCATGCAGCCTTTGGGCATGGGGACCTCAGGCAGCATGGCTTTTGTTGCTGTCCCTGTGTAGACCCCCCACTGAGCTCCCTTCCAGTCCACCTCAGGGATGAGGAGAATGACATCAGGACTAAACAGGGCTGGATTCACTGGAGACAGGAGTTTAAGTGTCAGTAGTCAAACACCCCAGTCAGTCCATGTTAGACCACCACAGCTCTCAGGCGTCACACTGCGAGTACCTTGGATGGTGACCACGGTGCAAGGAAGAGGATGATCTCTAGCCTGGACCTTCCTGAAGATAGGTTTGCCTATTAAAGCGATCAGCAGGAGATCAGCAGGGGGGACCGTATGCCCCATGCAAACCACTGCCGTGCAGTTAGTAGACTCTACTCCTACTTCACACAGGGTTAGTTTCACTTCCTTGCCAGCTGTCTCTCGTCTGCACAGGTGGCACCATGCTCTGGGAAAGCCCTTCTCCTGCTGCTGGTCAAAGGGACCAGCCCTGCGGCCAGAGCCTTGTTAGTCTGAATTATTGCTTCCAGCCTCCTGAGGGGCGGCTCTGCAACACGTGAGACCTGGGACCTTCTCCCCCTGCAGTGCTCGGCCTAATGACAAGATGCTTGACTGGCTACTGAGGGATGAGCAAGCCCTGCTGCTGGCTTTTGCTGGTGGGACGTGCAGGGGCTGCGTGCCTGCGGCAGCCATG